TTTTCAAATGCCTCCATTCCATCAATTTGGTTTGTCTGGATTGAATGTGTGTGTAAAAATGGCAATGCCTAATGGTTTGGGTGGGGCAATTTTGATGTTGAAATCGTTCTTGTCTGGGGGATACAAACATTCAAATTTCCAGGCGTAAAACCTAAATTGGTGTCTAAAGTATGAGTTGCTACATTGAAAATGTTCCCTTGTGTATGTGTCGTTTACGTTAAAGTGTTGCTATGTCTCCTAGTCTACGTGTTCCTACAGTAAACATATTGTTTCGTCTATGTGTTGTCAAATTGAAACTGTTGATGTGTCCGTTTGCCGCTGCGTTGAAATGTGCGTTTGTCTGTCTATGTGGTGTGACATTGAACACGTTGTTTTGTCTATGTATTGTCATGGCAAAATGCCGCTGTGTTTATGAGTTGCTACATGAAAAAATGGTTTGCCTATTTGCTGCTACGTTGAGAATGTTGATGTCTCTCCTTGTGGCTAAACTGAAGATGCTGCTATGTCTACGTGTTGCTACGCTGAAGATGTTGTTTTGTCCGCGCGTTGTTACCTTCAAAATGTTGTTTTATCAACACGCCACTACGTTGAAGATGTTGATGCGTCTGCAAGTTGTTACGCTGAAAATGTGTTGCACTGCTACGTTGAAGATGTTGTTGTGTCAATGTGTTGCTACATTCAGAATGTTGTTTTGTCTACTGTATGTGTTGGTACGCTGAAAATGTTGATGCGTCTCTCTGTCGCTACGCTGAATATGTTGTTATGTGTTGTGTTGCTACGTAAAAAATATTGTTTTGTATATCTGTTGTTGCGTACAATACGTTGTTGCATCTACGCGTTGTTAGTTTGAATATGTTGTGTCAATGTGAAATTTGCGTTGAATTTGTTGTTTTGTATTTGCGTTGCTACATTGAACATGCTGCTGTGTTTATATATTTGTCACCACGTTGAAGATGTTGCTATGACTACATGTTGCTACCTTGAAAATGTTGTTATATCTGTGCGACGCGGACAAATTTGAAATTCATGTGTCCATATGTGGGGGCGTTAGAGTGTCTCTGCTATTTAAGGACGAACCAAAAACGTGGAAAAAAAAACGAAAAATTGTCAAATAACGTTCCGTGGAACCCGCAACCTTCACCTTTTGTGTTACAAAAACATATACATTTCTGCACAAAAACATGTATACAAACAAACATGTTTACATGTTTACAGATATACATGTCTATACATATTTACATTTTTACATACATGTGCAATATATATATATACATATACACATACAAACACAAATACATACACAAGTACCAATACATATACATCAACAAATGCATGCACATTTACAAAAACAAACACATAAACTACACATATACATATACATATACATATGCGAAAAAAAATGTATACATAAAACTACGTATACGTATATACAAATGTGTATATATATATATATATTTATTTACACCAATACATATACAAATATATACACATATGCATGTGTACATATGTACACAAACTCACAAACAATTCTGTGTAAATGAGCTTCGGTGGTATCCCCAACAGCGGCAACATTTTTTTACAATTTTTCTGAAGCGTGCTGCCAAACCAAGCGCTGGAAACACGTCAGGTGGCTTTCCGTGAGTTCAATGGCCGCAAATACACAGATTGTTGAATCTGACCTGGCTCTGCACCAAAGCCTCCCAGATGTCCGGGAATCTTCTCCGGAACCTTCTCCGCAACCCTGTTGAACTTGACCTGGCTCTGCGCCAATGCCTCCCAGACCTTCTTCTAAACCTTCTCCGGACCCCTGTTCAACCTGACCTGGTTCTTCATCAAAGCCTCCCAGACTGTGAGAGCCTTCAACCCAAAGTATGATCTCAAGAACCAACACCTGCAACACTGCACGCTTCAAGCCCCCTTTTGCACGCGACAACAAGCACGAAAAGCTGTCAGTTCATGTAGCTACATTCGAAAGCGAAATCGGCAGAGGAAACTCGATTTCAGGTCTCAACAATTCCTGGGGTACATCAAAGCCTACATGACTTCAAATGTTTCTTGGACAAAAGTCACAAAATAAGTGACGTCCAAACTGTTTGGTTTCAGGTTCACAAATCCCTAGATCTACAAACCCTACAAGACGAATTAGTTCACCAAGATAGGTCATTAAAACCCCTTTAGGTAGGTTTTCTCCCATCAGTCGCCATCTCAGGTTTCAACAAAGTCTCTTCGGACCTTTCAGACAAATGATGGCCTTGGACATCATGTGGGAGAAAACCCAAAAGCATTTCGGGTTCAAATGTTAACGACCTACCGATGAACAAATGCACAAACTTCAAACTGTCACATGCAAAATCCACAGTTCAAAAGCCTTCGAAACAATCTCAAATGTTCTCAAAACGGTTTCAAACAAATTCATCCAACTCAGAAAACTTTTGAAGATGGTATGTACAACGACAATCAGCATTTCCAGATGCTGTATGTCTACTGATATACAAAATAC